TATATAAAATATATAGATATGTTTATTAGGAATGAGAGGTGTATATAAATTAAGTCAGAAATTTAATCAAATTTAATTTAATCAATTGAGTTTAAAAATTAGTTCTGGTGTAATTAGATATAATAATTAAATAACAGTATATAATTAATATCAGAAAATTTTTAAAAATGAATATATTTAAATATAATATATAGTATTTAAATTATATTATTTTAGATATATTTGACTATTCACATATTTATCTACAATAAATATTCAAATTTATTTAAATATATTTATATTTATTTAAATATATTTATAAATATATTTAGATATATTCAAATATATTTGTATAAATTTGCATATGTAAATTTATCTGAATATATAATGTGTTATATCTTAACTTGACAAATGTTTTAATTTTTGATTGTAGATTTTTATATAATAAATTTTGTACAAAGTGTAAAAAATTTTTTTTATATTAAAATTTATGTAAAGTATAAAAAATTTTAAAAATCTTATTACATTTGTACAAATAATATAGTATATTTTTTTATGTATTAAGTTTTTTTGATATTTATTTCTTGTAGTAATAATAAAGTAGTAGTAGTTACTAGTTAAAAATTTATAAATACTATATTTATCAAATAGCTGATAGGTATAATATCTAAAATTTTTAACCAGTAAGTAACAGTTATTATATTATAATTATTGTCACCATATCATTATAATTATTATCATCATAATTATTATTATCATTATTATTTTATAATTATCATTTTACAATTATTATCATTATTATTATTATCATAATGAAAATAAGATAAATAAATTTTATATTATAATTTACTTGTTTTACAATACTATTACAAAGGTCAAATTTATATACTGGTATTCATATTGATTTTTAAAGAATAATTAGTAAACAGGAAAAAAAAAACAAAAAAGAACAAATAAATAAATAAATAAATGAACTTTACAGATGGATAAATGAAATAATCAAATGGATAAATGAACAGAAAATAAATACAAGAGTATTTATTTATTTAATTATATTATTTTATTAAAAAATAAAATAAAAAAAAAAATAAAATAAAAAAAAATAAAACAAAAAAAATAAAAAAAATAAAATAAAATAAAAAAAATAAAATAAAAAAAAATAAACTAAAAAAAAATAAAATAAAAAAACAAAAAATTAGATATTTTAATTTTATTTTTTTTACTATAAGATATTAATAGAATATTATATTTTTTAAACATTAATAACTTTTTAAAAAAGATTCAATCAATATTTTATTATATAAGATTGAAAGATTTAAATTATATATGTTTCAAAAATTGATTTTGAATTTTTGATATATTTTGTCTCCTCAAACTTTATGCAAAATCTAATTTATATATGGAAATAAAAAAAGTACTTAATTAAATATATTTTTAATCAAAGAATAAAAATCAAGTTTTAAAAAATTTTGTCTTCTATATAAAATAATTTTATTTTTTATAAAAAATTATTTTAACTTTTGAATTTTAAAATATTTCAACTTATTATGATAGCCTATTTTATATGCAAGTATAATCTAAATTCAAGTTATCAATTTTATATAATATTTTTTAAATAATACATTTTTTTAAAAATAAATATATTTTAAAGTTGATCTGAAATTTTGTCAAATTAAAACATAACACACTATATTTATAAATTTATTTATAAATATATTTGAGTATATCTAAATATATTTACATATAAATTTATTTGAATAAATTTACATATATTCATATATTAAATAAATTTATTTATATATTTTTACAAATTTATTTAGATAAATTTATATAATTTATAAATATATATATATGAATTGTTCAGATATATTTGAATAAATTCACATATATAAATATATTCAAATAAATCTAAATAAATTTAAATATATTTACAAATATATACAGATAAATTTACAGATATATTTGACACCAGGAAATTTTTAAAGACAAATATATATAAATTTATTTGTAATTAGTAAAAACAGATTATATTTGAATATATTTGTAAATTTATTTGAATATATTTAACATAACATATAAATTAATGTGATTTATACAGATAAATGCATGAGTGATCAAATATATTCAGATATATTTGTTCCTAAAAATTTTCTGATGTAATTATATTTACATGCAAAATTATTTTAAAGTTCTAAAGTTATAATTTTGGAAAAAAAAATTAAAATATTTTTTTATAAAAGATAAAATTATTTACTTAAACTCAAAATTTTTTAACTATTCAGATAAGTTTTTTAATTAAAGATACACTTAACTAGATATTTTTTTACTTCCATATATAGAATAGATTCTGTGTAAATTTCAAAAAGATGAAATATTCCAAAAATCAAAAATCAATTTTGGGAACATGTATGGATGGAATATATTTGTAAATATATCTGAATAAATATAAATATATTTGAATAAATTCAAATATTTTAATGTGGATAAATACATGGGTGGTTAAATATATCTGAATATATTTGTAAATTCAAATATATCTGGAGATATTCACTCTTAAAAATTACCTGATATGAATTTCTTGTCATTTGGATGAACACACATGAACTTATTATCATTTGAATAATGATGCATATGTTTATTGAGGTGATTATAATTCAAACTAAGTGATATAATTATAGTCTATATAGATTATAATTATATTACTTGTTGTATTAAATACAAGTCAAACACAAAATAATAAGTGTACCAAAAATGAATTCTAATTTTAGCTGATTTATAATATAGACTGCAATGGGACAGTTGATTTTTAGCTGGTCTATAATATAGGAATTTCAATTTTTTAGTTGATCTATAATATAGAAATTATCATTAAATATAGCAATTCTTTTGTATTTGACTAATGAAAGGATTTGATTTTGAGAAGTGATTTTAAAATTATTGTTAATTTCAAATAATATTATATATGAATTTGAAATATTATATGGGAAATACAACAATGTTATATTTGTTGAAGTAGAAAACTATTCATAATAAAATTATTATCAAATTTTTAAATGTTATGAGAGTTTTAAAAGTATTGGTATTTAAATGACTCAAATAATTCTCCTTGATAAACCTTTATTTCAAAAATTGAATGTGGTGTTTGTTGAAGTAATGATTGGTTGGATGGAAATTAAGAGAAACAAACCTATAAACTACACTTTCGATGATCTACAACACAAATTCGTAAGACTTAGGAATCACACAAGCATAATTTAGTGACACGAAAATTTCCTGATTTCAGGAGCACACTTTTAATTTTCATGCAATAAAAAGAAGATTCATGTGCGGAATGTGTACTAGCACAAATTTATTAAACTTTTCACATGATTTAAATTAATATGTGCGTGAAGCCACACTAGCGCACAGCACATTAAATTTTTAAATTTCAGACACTGAATAGTGTACAATTAATATTTAATATGGTATAATGACTTAATTTATGCATCCCTTATTTAATTAATAATTATTATAACTGGTTTATCTAAACTATATAAAAATTAAATTTTAGTTGTCCTAAAGCAATTTATACAATTTTAACACGTAGATAAAATAAGTCAATTAGAAAAATGTCTAGCATTAGAATTGGCTAGAAATCAGAAATCGAAATCATAAGTATAAAATTATAAGAAAGAGGGTGATCAGATATAATGAAAAGAAAAATTGGAAATCATTCCGTTAATGAAAGGGCTTTAGGGAAAATTTGAGAGTGAATTCAATACAATTGTATACTAAAACTACAATATAATACAATATGATACAATATGATACAATATGATACAATGTTATATAATATGATACAATGTGACACAACAGAAAAGAAGACTCAGATATCGCGTGTGCTCTTTCAAACAATTGATAAAATCTTTGTTTTATTCAAAAAGAGGAAATCAAAAAGAGTGAGTCAAACTATTCAAAAATTCCTTCTAATATATTTAATATATTTCCACTTATTTGCAGCCAGTTATCACCCGTGCCACATTTTATTAATGTGCGTATCTACTATTTTAAATATTACTCTAATATATATATATATATATATAGTTAAATATAATTTCTTTTTTCAATGTTTGTAATTTCTTCGAGTTTTACTAAAAAAAAGTGCATTAAACAAAAACAACTTAAACAAACTGATTTTTTAAATTGGATTAAAGTTTAGTCAATTTAATAATTTTGTCGAAAAATGTTTGACATGAATCGTAGCTATTAAAAATGTGATGAAACTATAAATGTTCTCCTTACATTTATAGTAATCTCTTAATCTCCATCGAAAATTACCTCAATTGATGTTTTTGTCCTACGCATGAAATCAGGAGACATAAATTTTTTACAGTACTTTGGTTGTTAAAGATGATGGTATTTAACAATTTCTCGAATTTTACGTCGCGAACTCAAATTTCCGTCTAACTATATTTTCTTTCTAACCTTCCCTCGGAAGATTTTCTCAATCATTATTTTCCGTTCCGTGAAAATCGAGTGAGATATTGCTGATTGACTCTGATGAAGGAAACTTTTTTGTATATATTATTTTATTTATTAATAATCATAGAGCCGATCTTATTTATTCGAATATGATAGGACAATTTTCGTTTAGTGAAACATTTCTATTTTTTGAGTAAATACCTGATAATTGCTAAAACTCACCGGTGGTGATTGTCACCACTGGGCAAAATTAAATTTACGTGGGCAAAGTTAGGGTTAGAGAATTATGTAATTTTGCCCGGCGGTGACAATCACCACTGATGAGCTTTAGCAATACCCGTTCTTTTTTTATATTATACATTAAAAAAACAAAAACATAATAAATTTCATAAGACTAACTTTTAAAAGAACTTTTTTTTAAAGGTGTACTTTAATGCATATCTTCTGCAAACAAATAAAAATTTTCCCAAATCTTCTAAATGGTGTGGTGTAATAATATCCTTATCACCGTTCGAAATTTATTTTGTACTTTTATTCTTTTTCATGTACAATATTTTCTTATGTTTGTAAAATATCAACATTATTTATGATAGAATTTTTATGTACACTTCTTAAAACCATTCAAAATATCTTAAAGCATTTTTGATAAAACATACGAGACCACGAATAAATACAAATATAAGACTAGTTCGGTAAAAAAAAAAAAAAAAAGGACATTGTAAATAACAAAATACCAAAAATTTTACACAAAAATGTCTTCCCCTTCAACTTTTTCCCAAAGAATATCCTCTTATTCCACTCATTCCACTCATTCCACTCATTCCTCTCATTCCACTCATTCTACTCATTCCACTAATTCCGCTTATTCTTCTCATTCTCAAGTTAATGCATTTCATTATTGTAATACTTCCTTACTCTCTAATTCTAACAAACCTACTAGAATTTCTTCATACATTCCAATTACTCCTTCACCGTTGAATCCACCTTTGAAACTCGAAAAATATTATCTGATTTCAGATATCAAACATGATGTTCGTATTCATGTGGGTGAACGTCCCAACACAATAACATTCAACGCTCACTCCAATATGCTCAAAAGTCGTTCAAAATATTTTAAAATCGCTTTATCTGATGATTGGATGCGTAAAAAAGATGGTTGGATTATATTGAACTTACCTAATATTTCTCCAGAAGTATTTAATTTCATTTTAAATTATTTCTATACTGGTAGATTAACTTTCGACGATGCTCCAATTGATGGTAAAAGTTGTTTAAAACGTATAATTGCCGCTGACGAATTATGTTTGGATCAATTATTGGCTCATGAGCAATCATTCTTAATCACTCATCGTTCGGAATGGATTCGTCAAAATTTTTTAACCGTATATAAACTTACAATTACTTTACCAGCTCTTGAATCTTTAAAAAATTTTTGTATGATATTACTTTATCAAGAACCAAAATTACTTATGAATGATATTCATTATTTAGATGAAAGAACTTTATTATTGATGTTGAAAAACGAAAATCTCCAATTAGATGAAATAGAAATTTGGGAAAATTTAATACGATGGGGAATTAATCAAATTCCTATGTTGAAATATCGTAAACCACGTGATTGGACAAAAGATGAATGGGATCAATTAAGTAATACGATAGCAATGTTTTTGCAATTTATTAGATTTGAACATATTTCCAAAGATGATTTCTTGAATAGGAATAATGAAATTTATTCAAGATTGTTACCATCTGAATTTAAAACAAAATTTCAGGAGATTGAATATTCAGATAATACTGAATATATTTATAAAATAATTAACAATAAACATAATAAAGACAATAGTTCTGATTCTTCAACATTTGTGAATAAGGAAAATGAAGATATTTATCATTCCAAAGAGATTTCATCATCTTCAACAGTTTTTGAGAGAAATTATGTACGACAAGTTGGTCGTGAATCTACTATTTCACAAAAATCAACATATACATCTTATTCTATTATTCCATACACCTCCAAACGTACCCAATTTATTGATTCCAAAATTATTAATATTTCACATATTGGTCAAATTTCAAATTGGATTAAAGGTCATCCATCAACGGGTAGTAGAAATTCAGTATTTCTTAATAATTCTAATATTTTCTCATTTGGGAATAATAATAATTTATATAATTTTAATAATAATAATAATTCATTACCTTTTATTAATTCATCAAATTCAAAATATTATTATACTTCTTCATTAATTCCTTTTCGTTTTACATTAATTTTAAGAGGAAGTAAAGACGGTTTTTCCACTGATATATTTCATAAATGGTGTGATAATTATGGTTCACCTACTTTAATTATCATAAAACTCAAGAATTCCAATGAAATTATAGGTGGTTATAATCATTTTAACTGGAAATCACCTTGGTTATTTCCTACTACTCAACATGATAAATATGCTTTTATATTTTCATTATGTGATAAAGATGGAAATCGAGAACAAGCGAAAGTTGTTAGACCCAAGAGAAATTATAACTTAATGAATATTGATGATAATGATTATGAAGAAAGTGAAGTAAAAACAAAGAATAATAAAAATAATAAAAATAAGAAAGGTAGAAAGATTAGAATTAGATTAAATAGTTTTGGAAGCTTTGGGAGCTTTGGAAACTTTGGAAATTTTGTAAGAAACGGTGGGAATAATAACAATAATAACAATAATAACAATAACAACAACAATAACAATAACAACAACAACAACAATAACAATAATAACAATAATAATAATAATAGAACTTCAGCTATTACTATTGATAATAGCAATCTTTCTTCCGTCACTAAAAATATCAATGAAAATAAATCTAAAAAACGTGTACGTAAAAGATCAATATCACCTGGACATTATCAATTTGGTATGAATGCTTTGAGGTTCTCGAAATATTCAGGTCCTTGGTTTGGTAAAAGTGATTTACAATTTCAAAATAATCGAATATGTTCATGCAAACCTCATGATTATGATGGGTCAATTATAGCTGAAAGTGGATCTTTTGAAATTGAAGATTATGAAGTATTTGGTGTGGGTTTTGCTTAAATATATTTAAAGTTATCTTTAAAGTCACATTTAAATTTGCTTTGAACAATTTATGTTGTATAAATGTAATCGCGTGATGAAATTGTATTAAAAAAAAAAATTTATTGTAAATTTAACTTTTTCTTTAATAATTATATAAATTAATATTTGAAAAATTTTATGGTTACCGTTGATTACGTTAATTATTGTTAATTAATGTTAATTATTTGTAAATATTGTAAAAAATAAAAATAAAAATTTAATGAATGAATTACAAATTACGAATGAAAATCTTTTCCACAAGTTGTAGCTTTCACATATCCAGTTCGAATAACAAAATCTCCAAATCTTTCGCCATCTAATTTTTCTTTCGCATATCTCGCCAAAATTGGTTTCAACTCTTTCAGAATCTCATCTTCTTTTAAATTATCTTTATATAACTTATTTAATCTTTGACCATGAAATCCTCCTCCTAAATAAACATTATATGTGCCCATGGCTTTTCCAACAAATGCAATTTCAGCTACATATGGACGTGCGCAACCGTTAGGGCATCCAGTCATTCTGATTGTGATCGCATCATTTTTTAGTCCAACTTCCTCTATAATCGATTCTAATTTTGATACAAGTAAAGGAAGATATCTTTCAGATTCTGCCATCGCCAAACCACACGTTGGTAATGCAACACATGCCATCGAATTTAACCTAAGTCCTGTAAATTGTAAGTTGTCCAACTTATATTTCTTTAACAATTCTTCAATTTTCGGTTTTTCTTTCTCGGGTACATTACTAATAACAAGATGTTGATTGGGTGTTAATCGGAAATCACCTTTATGTATTTTGGCAATTTCACGAAGTCCTGTCTTGAAAGGCAATCCTGGAAAATCTTTGACACGACCATTTTCTATATACATACAAAAATGCCATTTGTCATTAAGACCTTTTGTCCAACCGAATCTATCAGAATTGTCTTTAAATTGAAATTCACGTGATTTCTCCAATTTATATCCCAATCGAGATTCCACTTCAGAACGGAACCAATCTATACTTCTATCATCAATTGTATATTTAAGGCGAGCATGTTTACGATTGGTTCTATCACCAAAGTCACGTTGAACCAACATAACTTTCTCAGCAACATCAACAGCTTGATCGAGTTTACAAAATCCAAGAGAGTCAGCAAGTCTTGGATAAGTCTTTTTATTATTATGAGTCATTCCCATACCTCCTCCAACAGTTACATTGTAACCCAATAACTTTTTATTATGATCATCTGTAATAGCGATGAAGCCCAAGTCATGCGCATAAACATCAACATCATTACTAGGTGGAGTTGCAATTGCAATCTTGAATTTTCGTGGGAGATAAGTTGGACCGTATAAAGGTTCAACATCTTGAACAGCTTGACCGGCCACAATTTTATCTTCCAACCAAATTTCATGATAAGCTGAAGTTTGAGGTGACAGGTGTGCGCTTAGTTTTTTGGAAAATTCAAATACTTGACTATGAATTTCAGATATATAAGGATTTGGATTGCACATAACATTACGATTTACATCACCACAAGCGGCTAAAGTATCTAGTAAACATTTATTAATTTCTCGAATTGTAGTTCTCAAATTACGTTTAAGAACTCCATGCAATTGATAAGCTTGTCTTGTTGTCATTTTTAATGAACCATTTGCATGTTTATCTGAAATCTCATCCATTGCCAACCATTGTTTTGGCGTAGAAACACCTCCTGGCACACGTACTCTTACCATAAATGAATACGCTTTTTCTAATTTTTGAGCCTTACGCTCATCTCGTAAATCACGGTCATCTTGTTGATAAATCCCATGGAATTTGGTTAATTTAGTATCTCTTTCACATAATGCTCCTGTTGATGTATCTTCAAGTCCCTCTGCAATAGTACCTCTCAAAAAATTTGACTCATCTTTCATATCATCATCAGTTTTTTTACGTTCTTCGACAACAGTTCCAAGTAATTCCACTCCAAGAGCTTTCCAAAGTTCGGGCTCCCAAGCTTGAAACCCAGTTTCATATCCATCTTCATCTTGATCGTCACCTAATCCAAGATCCAATAATTTATTTCCACCTAAGAGTTCTAAGCGCGCAAATAATTCTTTTCCAGGTTTATTGTAATAAATTATGTCTTCTTCTCGTGGCCAATATTTGCTATCACCAAGACCAAAAACTGCAAATTGTGTGTCCGAAAAAGAAATTTCGGTTGTGGAAGATATAGTTTTCCAAAATTCGCGAGCATTTTGTGGAAATTCACCTTGACCAGCGGTACATACAGAGAATACTATATTCTTTTCAGTAATAATTTCTTCTATCGGGTAGTCGTCCATAGCCATACAACGCGCATTAACTCCACGTGCCTTGGCACCTTTTTGTAATCTCTTGGCAAGACCTTCCGCATTACCATTATCTGATCCGAAAAGAATTAAAAGCGGTGGACCACTTAAACCACCTAAAAGCTTTTCATATGCTGATTTTGCTAAAGATTTTTGACGTAATTTTACTTCGGATTCAAGGGAATTTGTTAATGTTTCAGATAGCTCAGGTCTCGTATTTATAAGTTGGGACAATTGATTTTCTCTATCAAGAAAAGATTGAAGTTCACTTTTAATTCGTTCAGAATCTAAGGTAAATGGTTCTTTTCCTTCTTTTTCTAATGCGGGATTCCACCGATATAAAGGCCAATATCCAGTATCAACTGCTAATTTGGTTTCTTTTAATACGGTGATAGTGGTATCTTCTTCACTATAATAAGGCAAATAAGCCAATACAATTGAAGGTCCCTTGTATTTTTCGGCTTCCATAAGTGCATGCAGAACTTGAGTATATGAAGAATATATTGCAACTGATGCGACATAAATATCCCCATAATTCATTGCGTACAGACCAATATCTTTTTTTCGTTTCTCTGGATCTGCTGCAGTTCGAGTTGTGTAAGGTTGTGAATCAATGATCAAAATGTTAATATCTTTCCCGGAGGAGATAACGTGATGAACACCAGATGCGCCTATGTCATAAGCCCAACTATCCGAACCTATAAGCCAATTCGCGGGTTTAGCAAATAAATTCTGTTGATTATTAATTATAGTGAGAGATGGATTTGGTTTTTTAATTTTGTTAAGATATTCGATAGCTGTATTTCCAAAATTTTTAGATTGCTCGGAATCATCTTTATAAAGAAGCCATTGTGATAACGCTTTGAGTAAAGGTTCGGGCAATGAAACGGATGTATTCTTAACTATTTTAGTAACTGCATTAGCAAATTCATCACGCTTTTGAAGTTTCGCAAGCAAAACGCCAAATCCAAATTCTGGAGTTGATTCTAGATGACCGACATTAGATTTAGATGTGACATTTGCAATAAATAATCTATCTTTAAAGACTTCAAGTAACATTTTAAGGTAAGGTTTTTCTAGTGTGGGTGCATTGTCAATCGGATCTATTTTGCCGTTAATGTCATTGGTGATGCCGTTAACACCGTTGATGCCATTTTCTTTCTGCGTGTCATGCCCGATGACTAAATTTCGACGAGGTTCGCTGGATGAAAGATTTTGAAATAATGTAGTAATTTCAAGACCAATGGATTCAACTATAAATGACCCATATTGACAACTTGCAATAATTGGCAATTTATTTGTCCAATATAAGTGATTTTGAAAAGCTGCAACGATATCAAGGTACATAGGTGTCCATTTGGTAGTACGCGCGACTACTTGTTCCAATACGATAATTTTGTTAATTTTCTTTGGAAGAAGGTCAAAAAGATATTTTTCTGACCATGGTCTATATACTCTGATATTTACCATAGAAAAAGGTTGTAAAATTTTCCCTCCCTGTATATGTTTCTTTATGTGTTTTGAACCAGAACCAATAGTAATAATAAGCGAATCGGATTTATTATCACCAATAAATTCTATAGCTTTATACGATCGACCTGTTTCCTTTTTAAATTGCACAAAAATTTTGTCTACAGTTAATAAAAAACTATCTTTTGGGTTTTCTATGCCATTACTACCACCATTAATTTTTGATTCATCTGTAATATGTTCGTCGGATGAAAGAACTATTGATCTGAAATAACGTTCATTTTGTTTAATTGTGGATGCAAGTGTTTCTTTATACTTAATTATATCTGCTTCTTCAATTAATTTTTTGATAACATCATTCCCTAAATAATTATTTTTTTCCTTAGAAGAATTATTGTCATCTCTATCAAAAAAATGGATTACTGGAACTCCAGTCTTGATGGATAATGCGTGTGCTATTAAAGATAAATCCCAAGTTTCTTGTGTACCCGAAGAATGTAAAAGAACGCATCCGGTTTGTCTTAAAGCCATTACATCAGTATAATCCTCAACGTTATTATCATGACTACGATCGACAGCTACATGAATTACGGTAGACGTACTTCGATTATTTGCAATTTTATAAAGATGAGGTATAGCTTGAATTAAAATGGTTTTTGAAGTATTTAAAGGTATAACCACGGATACAAGGGAACCTTTAACTATTGATGCATATAAATTCGAGAAAGGATCAGCATTAGCATGAATTATTTCTACTTCAGTTTCCTCGTTGAATACATTTTTCTTTGCTTGTTCTTTATATTTTATTAATGTATCAGTTGCAACACCAATTGAATGCTTAAATACAGAAGATTTTAGATTATTAGGTTCTATAACATATACTAAATTGCTTACGGCATAAGCAACAGATGCCGCGGCAAATTCAGGAGAAGTCATTTTATGCAAAAGCGTTGCGTAAAAAAAATGAGATATTTTTTAATTTTGTTATAAAATACTATTTCGGTAGTACAGATCTTGATTACAAATAAAAAATCAACGCACCGATGAATCTTATTTTCTTATTAAATATCGATCTAACTTTAAAGAAATTTCATTCTTTGATTAAAATTAGATTTTTTTAACTGACCGAGTGTATCAAATGATTATCGACAGATAACCTATTTTTAATGTTACACAATTTTAATATATGGAGAGTATTTAGAACTATGATTGGATGTTACTTTCTGGAATACTTCTAAACTAGTAATTTTATGTATTCATAAAAAAACTATTAATTTAAATTCTTTTTATTTACTTCATTCTTACTTCCCGAGACTGTTTTTATTTTCAGTATTACAAAGTATTTTTTTTGGTGGTTAGAACATTTTGTGAGATCAGTTTTCCTAATAATACCATTATTTTTAATAATTTGACTTCTCATTTATTCGAGAGATGTCAAAACAGTCTGGTAGTGGAACTCCACATGAAAAATGTCCATTATGTACGAATGAGCCTCGTTCTATGCCTCTTTGGTTTCAAGAGAACACAGAGACATGGATAAAGTGTGATATTTGCCTGGTTTGGTGTCATACTAGTTGTCTTAAACTTCCTCCTGATGAGTGTGACCGAATTGATGAATATCATTGTCCTGAATGTTCAAAAGGTCATGGTCCTAGTACCTGTAAGATTAATTTTTACCTTATCACGAGACGATTTACAATATTGAACTTATGCTAAACCCTAAATAAATGTATATTTTGATGCCAAAAAAAAAAAAATTAACCAAATTTGTCTTTTTATAAATATATCTAATAAAGATAAAGTCCGAAAATCCCTTCGTGAACACTCTCGAGTCAATTATGCAGATCTAGATAATGGCTTAACTGGTAATCCTTATAAATGGAAACGAGTAATTGACACTAAGACTTTTTCCAGACCTAAATTTCCGAAAATACGTGGTGAACATTTAACATTGGATTGGGTACAATGGCATGGTCTTGAAGAACCAATCATTATTGAGAAGCCTGATGGGCTCGATATGAAAATGCCACCGAGAGATATTACAGTTAGTAATATCGCTGAAGCTGTTGGTAAGCCATCAATAATTTCATTCATATTTTGTCTATAATGTTAAAATTTATTTTTTTTAACTTATTTTTATAATTTCTATAAAATATATAAATTTTAAAAAATATAAAAAAATTTAAAATATTTAAAATATAAATGATAAAACCATAAATTGAACGATAAAATATGAATGAACGATAAAAATATGAATGATAAAATACAAATGCTTAATTAGGCTATGATACCCCGGTAGATGTTATTGGTAATAAACTGCTCTAATACTCAAAGCAATGCCAAATAGTTCATATAAACTTAGTCGATCATTAATTAGAAAATGTCCAATAGACGTTTCGACCCAACAAGAGCAACCCGATTGGAACATGTATAAATGGGCTGCTTATTATGATGGTCCAAAACATAATCAAGTATTAAACGTGATCAGCTTAGAAATTAGTGGAACTCCCTTAGGTGATTCAATAGTTCGTCCACGTATCGTTAGGTACTTCTTTGATAATGGATAAATCAATCATTAATTTATCAAAAATATTATTTAATTTTCAAAAAGTTGCTGATTTTTGAATTCTCTAGTTATTTTATAAATATATGTATATCTATATATTTTTTATTTATTTATTCAGAGAACTCGATTGGACTGATAATGTATGGCCAGCAGAAATGAAAAAGTTGGAATACCCAAAAGTACAACTCTATTGCCTTATGAGCTTAAAAGATAGTTTTACCGATTTTCATATCGATTTCGGGGGAACTTCTGTTTTTTATCATGTCTTAAAAGGGGAAAAAGTATTTTATTTTGTTCGTCCGACTTCACCGAACCTGAAAAGGTATGCAAGATGGATATCATCGCCAGAACAATCAATGACATTTTTTGCAGATTTAGCTAAAGATTGTTATGAAGTTCATTTGGTTGCTGGTAATACCATGTAAGTTCTTTTATATAATTTATATAATTTATATAATTTATACAATTATTATTTATGCAATGATTTATTCGTTTAAAAATTAAATTATAATTTTTAGGATTATTCCTACAGGTTGGATTCATGCTGTATATACACCTGAGGATTCGATAGTTATTGGTGGTAATTTCTTACATGGGTTCAATATTGGTGGTCAATTAGCTGTATATGATATTGAAAAGCGCACCAATGTCCCACTTAAATATCGTTTCCCATATTTTGAAAAAATGTGTTGGTTTGCAGGGAAAAAATACTATGAGATTCTTAAAGGTACATGTTACTTATTTATTATGATTATAATTTATTGTAATTGTAATAATTGTAATGTTCAATTTTATGTATATAAATTTAATAACAAAAAAAAAAAAAAAAAATTTTTTTTATCATTTTAAGAAAATCCAAAATGTTTATCAACTTGGGAAGAGAAAGGAATAGTTGAACTTGCTATATTTTTGTCAGAATTGTCTAGAAAACTTGATTCAGATAGTGAAACTTCATCTCAAGAACGTCAAATTATTAAATCAAATATTCCAGAAGAAATTCATAATCATTCTAAATTGGCACGAAGATTATGTCGAAAGATTAATGATCATATATCAAATAGTCGATTCGGTGAAAGTGAATTTGATTCCGTATTTATTCCAGATATATCAAAGAAAAGCGTTAAAACCAAGAGAAATGTTATAAGACTTAGAGATCCTAATATCGGAATATCCAAATCAACACCACCTAATGACGAAATACTTAATAATGAAATACCCAATGTTGAAATACCTAATATCGAAATACCTAATATCGAAATACCTAATATCGAAATACCTAATATCGAAATACCTAATACCGAAATACCTAATGACGAACTATCTAAATCAACACCACCTAATAATATGAATCCACCACCACCGAAAAACCTTAGGATAAGGATTGTGAGTAGAAAACGCAATCGTAGCAATACTGAAACAAAAGAACAAGAGAAAACTAACGATGACGATATTAAGGTCAACATTGTTGAGCCAATGGTAAAACGTAGGTCTAATACTGATAAAAAATACAACATAAATAATGATTTAACTAGTAAACATATTCAGAAGAATAAGATTTTGGAAAAAGAACTGTTTTCCCCTTCGACACCGCGGAGTGACAGTACAATATCATCATGGAACGATGCAGAAATGTAAATAACTTATTTATATAAGTCAACAAATCATTATATGTTAACATTTTATTATGGTTATAAGTTAACCATCCAGTCTTTGGTCTTTCCAGAATAACAAATTGTTAAAATCGAATTAAAATCATATTTGTTATCGTAATTTTTCAATTGCAAATTATAATATAAAATTAAAGTCAATTTTGATATAGATAAATAGATAGATATATATATATATATATATAAATGCTAAATTGTAATTGCTCATGAAAAGATATCTTTCCATTTTTTGAAAACAAAAGTGATCAATGCAAGATTCTTTTATACAAAATTATTTTCTGAAATTATTTCGTTGAAGATTTTATAAATTCATTGTCCTGGAGCAAGTAATTTATATTTTTATTCTAGGCATTTAATGATTTATACTTGTATCTATTACTTTAATATTAACCTTTAATCATTATCAATATTTTGCTTTATATTTTTATTGTTTATATGGCATGATAAATAATAAATGTAGCTTCAAGGAAATAACTTTATTATTAAATTTATTAAATTTTAAAAATGTCACATGAAATAATCTTGTTTAATCGGTGGTAGTACAAATCTCACCACATCGTAATACTGTACGAAGTCACGTTATAGAAACAAAGAATTATTTATAATGGTATGCTCGCACGAGGCTACATCAATAAAGTATAAACAAGTACACACAATACCTTTTTTTTTTTTTACAATTTTTATTCTTTTTTTACTCCTTTACGCGTAACTCATAGCTCGTACATAACTCATTTTTATTGTGAACTAAAAAAAGAAAAATGGATATCGATAAAATTGTATGTAACTATGAGCCAAATGACCAATTAAGCGAAATGTCAAAAGAAACACCAAGGGAATCAAGGGAATCGCCAGCAGAAACAATAAAAGAAGAATCAATAAAAGATGCAACGATTGAATCAGCAAAAGAAGAATCAACAAAAGATGTAACAAAAGAAGAATCAATAAAAGATACAATAATTGAATTAGTAAAAGAAACTTCAGGGGAATCATCAACAAAAAAAATTGAGGAAACACAATTTGAATCAACAAAAGAAATAACTAAACAATTAAGTACTTCGGATCCAGTGATAAAGAAAGAACCTAACCCAGATTCAGTACATGAGTGGTTATCTACACTTTCTTCCTGTCAAGTTGAACCTCCTAATGAAGTTTTTAATGATATTTCCATATGCGATATTAATAATGAAGACAATAAGGATAAAAATGATTGCACTGATATGGTTGATATAATGACACATATAGAAAATATAAATAATATTAAAAATATTGAAAATATTGAAAATTTGGAAGAAAACGACCATATTACAAAAATCAATAATGGAGAGTATGATAAATTAGAAGAAAGTAAAAATAGTTCTCCTTGCAATAATTTTTTAGAAAGTACTACTGGTGTTAGTAGTAGTGGATCAAGAGCAGCTTCTTTAAAACAAAAGACTCCGAAAAAAAAAGATTTTATTGAACAAATTGATAAAAAGTCAAACAAGAAACGCAAAGTTTCAATACCTTCGGAAAGAAAAACTACATTACGAAAGTCGACATTAATAAAATCTAATTTGGCTACACCAGATACACCAGAATTAGGTACTGTAAATTTAAAACGCGTTACAAGTACAGCTAATCTGAAGGTAGAGCTTAAAAGAGTCAGACGGAATTATGTTGCACCTGCAAAGACTTTAAATGGTATAAAAATAGACAAGGGAAAGAATGAAGAAACCAAAGAAAGATCTGCTACAGTAAAATATTTCTCTTAACATTAAATTGTTATAGAATTTCCAATAAAATTTAGTTTTTAATGGTTTGTTTTTTAACATTAATATATTCAGAATATGAAATATAGATCATTGCAAAGATCTCAAAATGAAGAAATGAAAGAAAATGAACTTTCAGAAGATGTTATTAAGAAAAAATATGAAGTATTTAAAAATATTATTTCACAATTTGGAAAAGTTTTCTTTTCAAAAATATTTATATATTAATGATTATTTTATATTTCGAAAAAGCTTCAAAATCTTCTACAAAAATTAGATGAAAAAACATTTTTTGCCTGTGCTGCCTACGAGGAACTAAATAACGAAATGAAAAAAACATCTGATGATTATTGTCTTGAAATTGAACCACCCAAAATGTTTAATAAAAATGCAATGTACATATTAATGGGATTAAATCAAGATTAAAACTTTTAAAAAGTGTGAATATTTTATAAATTTGATTATTGAGTTTTTTTGTGAACAAATTTTATTTGAGTTATTAACTTCTTATTAATTATTTTCAACATTTTTTTTTTGAAAAAAAAGCATTATTAAAAAAAGATAAAGACAATCTTACTGATATTAAATATTATTTGACTAATGATTTTTTTTAGTCATATTCTCATCTTTCTTTTTGTTAGAAAAGAAAAATATAAAATTAAAATATTTTGTAAATTGAATGGGGATTCTAATAAAATAAGAATTTAATGTTTAATTGATTTTATAAATTAAAGTAAATGTATTTATTATATCAATGATAACATTTCAGAATTATGAATATACATCAATTGATAAATTCAAATTGTCTTTAAATGGATAACAATTTTATACTGCGAAATGAAAAAAAGTTTTAATTGTTGTATTAATTATAATATTAGATTTTTTCTTTCTTATTTAATTGTTACAAGATTAGGTAAGTAATAATTATATCATTAAAATTTTCGAAAAGTTTTATGTGGCAAAATTCTAACGAAACAATTTAGAATTTAGATGTAGAAAGAAAATGATATAAAACCTAATACTTTGGTTAACATAAATTCTTAAAGATATTCCATAAAAATTTATTCAACCATCTTCAATAATTCATTCAAAGAAAAATAATTTATGCAACAAATCATATATATATATATGTGCATTCAAATTTGAAAGAAAAAAAGAGAGAAACTAGAAACTTCATATACTATAAATATTTTTGGTTAATTAACTACAGAAAATAATTTGAAACAATTAAAATCATTGAGATTATTTGATTTTTAATACTTTTGTCATTATCATTTTTAAATGGAATGTATAATCTTATTTTAAATAATTCATCAATATTTTTTATTGTTATTATTATTAAGATACGTATTGTATCTAGATTATTCAAACATCAAATGTACTAAATGTATTATTTGATAAAAATAATGAAAAATTATTTTATTGTGTAAACATTTATAGTGAGACTACCATATTTTTTTGATAAAAAAGAAATCAAAATAACCTGTCCATTGATTGATTTAAAACCTTATATACTCAAAAAAAAAAACTTTTTATATTAATTAAAACAAAGCATTGATAAAAAAAAAACCTTATCTTCTTTTTTTCGTTTCTTTCAATCAGTTATAGTAACGTTATAATGTAGATCATCAATCGAAATCATCAGGATATTCTGGAAATCAAGTCTTCATGTTTCTTCTTTCGATTATTCATATTTAATCATTTTAAAATGACAGACAACATCAAGAAAATCGACAGGAATAAAAAGGAGTAAAGAAACAAATGGGTATGCTTGGTATTAATCCAGAAATCCGGCCTTCATATTTCTTCTTTTTCAATCGTTATTCATTACTTGTTATATAAAAAAAGGAAATAAATCAAACATTTTTAAAACAACAAACAATAACAAAAACAAAATGAGAAAAGAGATAAAAAATATTCTTAGTATTGGATTTAGATATTTCTTAGTATTCGATTTAGATATACAGTCTTCAAATTTATTTATCGACTTCATCTGGGCGTGGTATTTCGATGTCTTCGAAAGCTTCAAGTTCCCATCGCATCCAATCAAGATACTCAGCCGAAGTAAAATTAGGTTTATTAAAGCATCTGGGAAAAAATTTTTCTGGTTCACTTTATTAAGAATTTTTTTATATTATTATTAGTAAATTGTTCATTTAAACATATCATACATTTCGTTCATTTGCATACATTCGTGGAACTTTCCAATAATGATTTATCAATTGATGTATATATGAGAATAACTAATTAATACTTACAGTTGATGATAAAGCTTATCCTTCTTATCAGCTTCCACGCGAGCCATTTTATTGAGTTCAATTTCGTCATTTGCCCACGGGATCGATGCCTTACCAGAGTGGAATTTCGCGGAATTTAATCTACGATATTTATGATGTTTAGTTATTTTAATATAATTTTGTATAATTTTGTTATAATAATACTAATACTTGCCGACTTGTTTCGACGGATGTTTTTACAATATGGCTTGACCCGGTAGTTTTCAGAAATTTCGGTCGTCATTACCCGTTTTCTTCGGGTGTCACCGAGTCCAGAAGGCACATAAGAATCAAAATTTTTTTTTCTACGGCGACCTAATAATTTAAAAAGGCATAGTAAGAAAAAAGAAACCTAAATGATTTTATTTATTAATCATTTTACTTACTTTCTTGTACATAAGGTAATTTATGACGCTCAATAAGGTCGTTTGGAGCAAGGGCACCGGAAGAGGAACTTTGGACGTGCGCAGCACTCGATCTATATTCAAAAAAAAAATAAATAGATTATTTGTTAATAAATACAATATCATCTTTATTTTTATTGTGTTATTTTTTTTTAAACTTTGGAATAAATGGAAGAAAAATAACGAAAGCAAAAAAAAATAAAAATATAGCGTCAAGAGAAAACTAAAAAGTTACCTTTGTTCAGTGTTCTGATTATTTTCAGCAGTTGTAGGTTGAGTCATATTAATAACGCGAAAAAAATAAACGTGTAAGTTAGAGTAGACAAGAGATGATCAACAAAAACAGAATTCATCTTATTTTTATAATAAGGATAATATTGTGTCACATGGGTTGTGTTCTCAGGTATAGGCATAGACTTTGATTATCATAAAAAATTTTATATCCGGGTACAATTTTAGGGTCCTCGTGTAACACCACGTTGATAATATTACATTAATGATGATTGGCTATTCGATCACGATATCACGATAATTACTGTATATGCATAAAATACGATTCTGTGCAACCCCCACTTAATTACATAATCCTAAATTTCTGCGTTCATAAAACTTTAGGTATATATAACTGATAATATTTTATTTTGTTGAGCTCACGTTAATACTCAAAAAAATTGAAGAAATTGACAGAATTTACTGTATTATCTAAAAGTGATATTGGTATATAAACATTTATTACATAAAATAATAAATAATTTCCTATTTAATGTACATTTCTATTTAAATTATATATTTTATATATTGATATTTTACAAACATGATTAATTTAATTTACATATAAATAATATAAATATGAAAATAATGATATTTAAAAATGTTGAGTTCTGGTTTCATTATATAATCTGCCTAATAATAATTTCTTTTTTTGCTCTATTTCACTATTTATTTGTTCTGATGATGAATTGATCGATGATAAAGCTATATCATTGTTATCTTGGTGAGAATAAACATTTATCTCTCCTAAACTTGAATTTTTCCCTGATCTATGATTAAATAAATAAATAAAATTAATTAATAATTTAATTAATTAATCTTGAATTAAATTAACGTAATTAACTTACTTTATTCTTATGGATTGTCTTAACCTTCTCTGTTTTTCTTTCATTTTGTCACTATCGATCAATGCTTTATCTAAAATATCGGAATCATTCATTTTATCATCTGACAATTCATTTATTGATCTATTAGTTGTTGTTATTGATATTGGTGATATTGGTGATATTGGAGAATTTGATACTGAATTTGGGCTTATCGGATCTGATGAATTTATTATGTCTTCATTTGTAGATATTGCTGGTCGAACACGTCTTTGACCAGTCAGTTTCTCTTTCAATAAAGCAGGGGAATGGAAAAGGATTGTACGAAGGGCATCTAAATCAAATTAAAGAATCCTATGAATAAATGTCCTAAAACAGAAAAAAAAAGAATAATTTCATTAAATCAAATTTGTACCTTTCTTCAACTGTTCTAAAAAGTCTAACCATGACCAAGTTTTGTTACGGTATTCTAATACAGGCATACGAATTACAAAATCATAAAGATCTTCTAAATTTTTTTCTTTTGCTCCCTATTTTATTTAATTTTATTTAAATAGATTAATAATGTTATCATTATTTTTATTATATTATTATATAAAACTTAATTAGAATTAATTAGAATTAAAAAAAAATAAAATAAATATCAGATTGACTTACCTGATAACTGAAATTAAGCAATACACTTGGGACTTTTATATAAACAAATGTTCGATTCTGAGATGCTCTTGTCTTCATCAACTCCAATTCATATGATTTATCTTCATTAAATTGTTTTGAAAGTGATTTCTTTGCCGAGAAACTTGATCCCTCTACGGTATCTACTTCACTGGCATTTTCTTGAGATTCATTAATGGTTTCATCTTCAATCGAACTTTTGGGTATCTTGTTAATTTGCTCTGATGATTCAATCGATGTTCTTTTAATGGGACTTCGATTATTACGATTATTTTCTACAGTTTCCTCGTTAGCTTCAGTATTAATATAAGATTTCCTTTTCTCGGGAAATATATACATCATTATCAATTTATTAACATCATATTGCATCTGAAACTTAATAGGGAACATATTAACTTCAAGATGGTCCACAATATCAATTCCTGCCACTGGTTCCATCATACTCCAATAAACACGTATCATTTTGTGACGACTAAAGTCCACTGGACGTCGTGAGTCTGTGATATACGGACATATTAATTCTTCATAAAAAGGTGAAGGAAGTTTGTTTTCCACAAGTACATGATCTACCTCTAAAATGTTCAAATTTGAATTCCCTTCTTTTGTCATCCAAACAAAATGTGCGTTGCTCAATGCCCATTCACAGAATGGGTTTTTGTTACTATCCTGCATAGTCCATGTAACTTCATCGGCAGTTACTACAAATTTAAGTGGTATCTTACTTTCTGCCTTTTGGTTTTGATCTTGTGATAATGTAATTGCTTCCATTAATAAACATAATTCTTCTTGCGCACTAATAAGTTCAACATCAATTATTCGAAATTCATCAAGTAAATTTTCATCAAGATTCTCCGGAAGGAATTCAAATTGATGTCTAATATATTCAAATTTACGAATTTTCTCTTGCAACGCCATTACTCTCTCAGCTGCACCATCAAGATTATTCAAATCAGCAGCAAGCAAAATAGCATTTAATTGTTCTGATCTTTCCTTTTTAGCAGGTTCACGATACATAAGTAGATCTGTGACAACATCAAATAAAGTACAATATTGATCTGATGTCGCAGACAACTTGATGTTCGGAAAATCAATATACCAAAGATCTATTCTCTTGTCAAAATCATCTTTATCTAAATCCTCAAGTCCGGTTTTCTCAGAGTCTTGGTTTGAATCATCTTTTTTAAGATCACTACCTTTTATACGAAGATTATTGAATTTATCATATTGCATTCTAGCAGAGGTACGTTTAACAATTCTTTGAAATGGTAAGCAATTTCTCCTTGATAAAAGTGCTTCAATTGGTACCCAGACGGGCCAATTCTCATTGCCTTTTGATCCATAATTATTAGCAGATAAAATTCTTGAAAAATCACTACTAAAGTCGTCCTTTGAACTTGTAAAGAATTGTGCGTTATCCAAACCAAAGAAAGTTCTAGTCTTAACTACTTCATTGATGAAATCTCCTTCTGACCAATTTTCTACTATGGAAAATGTTTTTAATTGGGTTCGTTCGACACACATTACAATACTGTCATTAGGATTTTTATCACTTTGGAAATTAATTTGTGAATTCATAAGTTGAACTATATATTTTTTCCATAATGAATAACCTATAGGTATATCATCATGACTATTTTTGAAACTGTCTTCATCATTACCTTGTTTTGTAATCGTTTCATTAGGTACGACAAAATTAATATTCTTTTCTCCAACCAGTTTTCGTAACATTTCTGCAGCCATATGAGCATCAAAATTATAATAGTTGGCATCAATTGGATCTGAATCTTCTTGTAGAGATTTTTCATATTCTTCTCTTTCCATTCCCTGACGAATATTCTTTTGCATATCTCGAATAAACTTTACGGCGCTCATTGACATGTAATAGGTAAGACCTTGATGTCGTTCTACAAGATCCCATAATTTATAGATTAAATTACGCAGAGAATTATTCCAGATTGTTTTCGCATTATGAATAACAAAACAGTTTCCGAAATGTCCATGCAAATCTGCTCTCAAAGGAGAATTAAATTCGATATCATCATTTTCGTGTTCATTAAAATCACTATCTAATTTATAATTATTAGTATTTGATGAATTTCCCTCCAGTTGATTCACATAATCCTGAACATGTCTACGCTTCTTTGAAAGGCTTTTTATGGCTTCCTGAATAACGCTTACTTCATCTTGTAAGTCTTGATCTTCGTTGATTCTTTTTTCTTCAATTTCGGCTAATAATTTTGTTTGGTGCGCAATCTCTTGATTAATTTGATTCAATCGATCATTAAGAAAATCAAGCTGGACCTCTCTCGCATCTTAGTTTAAGTGAGAGCAATTAAATTAGATTATTTAAAGATTAAATAATTTTCTAAAAAAAAAAAAAAAAAATTCAACTACCTCTTGCTTGACCCATGATACACACGTGTGTTTCTTGATCACTTTTCTTTTCACCTTCCGTCTCTTGCTTGTCGGGACGTTTATAATAATTCATTTGAGGACTTCTTAAAAAAGGTAAAACCCTAACACCAGGTTCAACTTTAGGTAACTCTAAATCTAATTCTACATAATCTTCTTCATCAATCCACGGCTCATCTTCGACGTTCATCGTCAAGAAATCTTCATCTTTACCTAATTGAAATTTTCGTTGAAGAATTTCATCATCTTCATCAGCAAAAGGTGAAGATCCATTTTCATCTTTGTATCGAACAGCAATTCCACGAACATCTAAATTGTTTAAATCTATTTCGGCCTCATGTAATGTAATACCGCGACTCTTCAATTCCTTGCCATCCAAAATTATTATATTTTCTTGCATACGAAGATGTAAATCGTGCTTGAATCGTCCTATTTTAGCCTTAATTCCAACTATATCTGTTCTATCACCCAGAGGATCATAGAAAGAATTTTCTCTATAAAAATGACTAAGAAATAAATTTCCTACACAAATTTTGACCTTAATTGATTGTAAAAACTTTCCTAGTTTAGGCGAAGGAAGTTCAAGAGAAGGAAACAAATCACCTTGACGAATTGGTATTGACATTGCTGGATCAAAGAGTGATCCCCAGGAAAGACCGTGATGCAGTGCTTTAGGACTAAATTGTATGGAATTTTGCATTGTTTTCTCTTTTACAACATCGTCAGATTCATTACTTTCAAGAGGACAAGTGACACTGATAAAAAGATGTATAACGTCTGATCGAAAATTTTTAAATGAATCATATACCTATAAATGGATATTTAATAAAATAAATATAAATTTTTGACAAAAATTAATAAATATAATATTAAGTCTCACCTCTCCTTCAGGTGCTACAGCATATTCGGGCATTCTAGTGATAATTTGAAAATGTGGGATAAAGTTTTTATACCGACATTTTCCTTCTCCATCACATTTATTGCACCTTCCCGGATTCTGACGACAACTTCTATTAAAATGACAACCCATTCCGTATCTAACACCACCACAAAGTTTCATAATTCTTTTAAGGAATCGACAATTTTGATCTTCATAATATAATGTATTTGTTGTACTTGTTGTATTTGTTACATTTGTTGAATTTATTGAACTCTGTGTTTTAATTGTACTTGTTTCAGAACCTATATGACTATCAAAGTTCACTTCTTTTGATTTCAATCTTGCATTATCTGGAGACAAACTTCCGTCGGCTAGGATAACGGATAAATTTGGAATAGCAAGAGTGAATTCCTCACTATCCACTTGCAAAACTTCATTCTGATCATTAGCATAACCCAGTTTTATCTTGACATTTTTACTCCAACATAGAGCAAATCCAGCCCCTTGTCCAGTTATAAGATATGGATCACGCGTACCTTTTGAGAAAAATTGGACATCCCCTGTACCTATGAAATCCATAAGAATTTGAATATGCATCATAAGTCTCATTTTGTCCCAAAAACCTATACTCTCTGATGGATCAGGATTTGGTTTAGTAAAACTATCTGCAACCTTTGCCACGTCTTGAAGTGCAGATTGCATTGAAATACTCCATGCAATAACTGTTGGTCTTGAAGTATTTACCTTTATATGAAGATCAGAGTATATTTTAACGGGAGAGACTGTTCTCGGGACGATAATGTCATAAGCAATATCATCACCTTTGACATCATGAGGTGAAATAATTTTAACAACTACTTTTCTTACTGACTCTAATCCTTGTAATTCTTCTCCAATTACCAAATTTCCTCCTATACTACAAGAGTATGGCCTTTTACCATTATATGTATCTGTAGAAGGAATATGAACTAATGGTAACGGATAATCGCGAATTTCTGTCCAAGCCTCCTTGAAATTGCAATTCAAATGCATTGGTATCAAAAGAGTAAATTTTGTATCTAAAGGCAAATCTTTACCTATTTTATTTAAATATTGAGGTAGTTCTTCTATAGGAAACAAAGGAGTTGACAATGTCAATATGAATTTCTCAATAGTCACTCTGAATAAAGCAGGATGTTGTGAAGGAACTGTCACTGAAATAGGTAAAGATATTCTAGATTCATCATGCTGTAATTTTGGTTTTGTTGATTTATATGCAGTTTTTACATATTTAATCCAATTTCTTGAATTATATAAATCCAATGCAGCTCGTGCTTTGTCTACAGAAATATTCGCTTTAGAAGACGGTTGAGCGCGGAAATTATTGAAACTTGATTTCTTAGAATAAGAATGAGAATCAGATATTTCTTCCTTTAAATCTGATATGTGTACTTCCTCATTTTTGGCTGATGAAGAAATATCACTATCAACTGTGGACAAACTTTCTTCACTCTTTGTAGAATGAGTATATTCCTGAGACTTAATAGATTCAACTTTAGCTTCAAATGCATCTTCTCTTTCTAATCTTGCTTGTTGTTCAAGGCAACCAAATTTCCGTATTGAAGAAAGTTTTCCCTCGAATGGATCATCTTCCATACGAAAAGTTACTATATTGACCTTTAATTGAATTGTAGGCAACATTTTAGGACCTTCTTCTTCTGGTTCCAATGTGTATAATTGATCAGGATTTAAAACTCGTTGTTGTAAATATTTTACAGCTTTAACCAAATTGGCAGCATTATCAGTAACATCAGCAAGAACGTATTTATAAGGAATTCGGACATGAATTGCATCTGCTTGAATCCGGATCATTTTATTTGTCACAGGAACACATTTGGTATCATCATCCATCAAACAGATTTTTATATGTTCCACATTTATTAATTCATCCCATAATTCTTTTTCAACAGGACTTGTTCCAAAAATTTGTATCCTTTTCACGATAAAAATGTGATCATCTGAAGAGGAGAATCTATATTTAACTATATTCATTCTTGTAAACAATTTTATATTCTCTGGGAGTTCTACTGAAAAGTTTATATGATCAATCAAAAGGTTTGCCTTTAACGATAATGAATGATCAGAAGACTTTGAAGGAATATTATTATTTGGTAAAGAATTACTTGATGATGATGATGATGATGATGATGGTGGTGGTGGTGGTGATGGTGGTGGTATTAATTTAGCCAGATTCATCACTCCAACCAAACAGCAATAATGATAGAGTAAAGAATATGTTATATTAACCTCATGAATTTTGACATTAGATTTTAATACAAAATCATAATCATCCTTTTTATATTCTACATTTAAATCGCTCCTAATTTTTATTTCAGGAATATGTAATAAGGGAATTGTGTTTTTAAGTAATTCCAAATCCCAAAGAGCTAATATCGGTGTCACTTTAAAATCTTTTACAAATCCCCTAAATATTCCTCCACTTTCAAATGGAAAATCATTATTTTCATGAATTGAAAGTCCAAGTGTTATTCTGTCATTACAGTATTGAGTAGGATCAATTGAAGCTCTAGAACCTCTATAGTCAATAGCAATTCCTTGAAATTTTATATCAACACCTCTTGAAGTTGATTTATTTACATATGAATCAATTTCTGCTATTTTAATATTTATTGAATTAAATGAAATATGAACTAATAATGCTTCAGAATATATTAATAGAGATTGGGAATTTTTGGATGGTGAATAAACTGATTCAACTGATTCGACTGATTCAATTGGTTCAACTGATTCAACAGGAAGTTGAGGATAAATATCTTTCATAGTTTCACCTTTTTGATTCCTTTTTGAAATTTCATTGATAAGTCTTTGAATTATTGTAAAAGTATTTTTCTCACAAATTTGAATTTCGAAACCATCAAATAACCAATTAAAATCCATTTGAATTGTTTCCATTTCTAAGAAAGCGGCAAATGAGATCAATTCTTCCTTATTTAAATAACAAGAAATTATTCCTAATGTTGATGAAGCGAAATTAATTTCCCATGAATGATTATATAAAAAATCAGATTCTAAAGTACATATTCTCATTCTTCTGGTTCTTAAACTTGCGACTAAATTATATACAAGTGAAAATTCAGGAGGTGCCCATCCTTTACTATATCTTCTAGAAGTTTCACGTTTTAGTTTTGCTTCAGGTAAATCATTTAATTCTGTATAATCCCCATTCATGTCAAATAAAATATCTTGAAATCCAAAAGTAATTTGTGATAAATTTAAATTTTCTTTAGGTGAAATTCCTGTTAATTTTATTCGTGGATTTATAACAGAGATAGTAATTATTAATTTTGGAATATCTCTTAACTTTTGATCTGTATCAGAATCAGAATCAGAATCAGAATCAGAATTTAATATTGATAAATTTGATGATGTTTTTTGAAATGAATTATCTTTATCTAGATCATTTAAATCACTCTTGGTAAAATTATTAAGAATTTTGTCAATAGTGTCAAGGTGATCAAGAAAAATAATTACTTCAGGAGAAACTATATCCAATTTACCAATTATAGATAAAGAATTTGGATTATATTCTTCAGTTCGAATAATCGGTTTTGAGAAATTAATTTCACCTACTATTTTATCAACTTCTAAAGGTTTGATTGTTCCTTTTTTATCAGTTATATCACAATAAATGCTATCTATCATAAGAAATAATTTTAAATCAAGAGGAAACACAGTTTCTTCAAATATGATGGATTTGATTTTGGGTATTATTGGAATAAAAACATTTTCATTTATTATTCTTTCTAATGATATTGAAATTGCTAGAATTGAAAATCTAGAACTATGTGATGATAAAGAATGGAAATTCTCAGAATCAGAATGATTCATTTCCAAATTCATAAAGTTATATTCGATATTAATACTCTGAAAATCAATAATAAACATTTTCAAATATTCCAGAGGAGTCTTTTTTCTTTTGAGTGATGTTTTCATTGTACATGTATCACTAATATTATTATTAATATTATTATAAATTTCATTTTTTGATTTTTTCTTTGGCATAGATTTTTGTATAGAATTAACTAAATGAATGATTGAATCTATGCCTAAATTAATTTCCCCAAAATTTAAATCAACCTCAAAATTCATTAAAGTAGTACAAGTTGGAGAAAGATGACAAAAAAGTGAGATGATTGAAGGAGATGAAATTAAAATTGCAGGTGGAATAAATTTGGGATTATTAATAGATTTAATAAAATCAATATAATTAATATAACTTATTAATAAAGTTGAAAAATCGAAAGTAATACCAAGAACTTTATTAGAAAATACATGACGACCATTTCTAATTGAATGTTCTTGAGAATTTTGACGAGACAATCTTTGCCTTTGCCTTTGACATTGATTAGGTAATGATATTTTGGTATTTTCTACATAAAAAACCATTCCCAGAGAAATTCCTTTTATATCAAATTGACCTAAATCTTCAACTAAAATATTAACACTTGTAATATGTACATCAACATAATTTGCTATTCCTGAAATGAAAAATTGTAATGGAATTGCTGATAATTTAGCAATTATATATTTAATCACTCCAACAGAAGACCACCATGCTTTTTGTGGTACAACAACTATTAAACTTGTTCGTCGCTTTTTTTCTTTTGGAATCGCCTGAGAGAATAAGTTTAAAGAAGATATTATTATTCTTAAATCTTTGATAATTAAAGTAATCCAAGTTTTACGTTCAGAATTCGGTCGTCTTATTTGTATAAAAAATTTATTGAAGAATAAATTGAAGGTATGTTGACAATTTCCCACAGATTTAGTTCCAGAGTATGATAAGTCAGATATTGAAAGGAAACCCAAAGAACCAACATGGATTTTATATTTTTTGTGGATATAATTTGCGAGATATTTTGAGCCGTAAAATAATACTAAACTAAATATAATAACAAAAAAAACTTTCCAAAAGTTTAATATCATTTTTATTTCTTTTCAATTGTTGGGTCAACTAAAATGGAATGGAACAAATTGATTTTATATAAATTTTATATAAATGCACACGAGTAACATGGCAGCAATACATATTACATTTATGGATAACTTTATTTTCATTACAATGCTAAATTATTAATTTTCAAGTATAGACTGTACGTGTACGTTTATTGAATTTTTGTGGCCAATATTTTTATGTGTAACAATAATAAATTCGGCTGAAAATTAGTGTAACAGAGGATAATTTCAGCAGAAATTGTACAATAAAAATTTAATAAAGTATCGTTTTTTAGATACTCTTTTACAGTTTTAATTAGTTCAGTTTAGTTCATGCGAAAAGTGCCTGATAGTTTAATAAGAAAAATACTAAATAAAGTTGTCTCTTCTTACTAACTGTCCGGAGCGATTATACTTATGTTTGAAAATTGAACGCACGTGAAGATTTCCTGTTGTAACGCCGTTTTTTATTTTATATTTTGTATATCCTTTAACACGTTAATTAATTAAACAAATTCAAATATATACTGGCTCCGGATCCCGTTTCCTAGTATTATAAACTCGAGGTGAGCCATAATAATATAAAGTCTCCTTGTGCGAAAAATCATCTATTAATAACATGTGACGTGTACAGTCTACCCTTAAATTATTTAAATTACAATATAAATTATATAAATTATTTTAGACATTGTTATTAACAATTTTATTTTTATTATTTGTATTATTATTTGTAAAGCATTAAACGATAACCATATTAATTGCATTCTATATTTTCACCTTCAAATCGTTTAAATCTTGAATCATCAATCTATCAATGCTATCAATGGTTATTCATTTATCAATAACTTCAATGGTTTGGATTCACATTTCATTTTTGTTAATAAATCGCAATTTTATGTATGTATGTGAACGTCAAGTAACAACAAGTATTATTAATAAAGTTTTTGGCATTTTATTTTTTAAAATTCAGATATATTAAAATTAATTTTCACAATTCTCATAATACTAATACAAAAAAAAAAAAAAAAAAATGTGCATAATTGTCCAAAATTTTCAAAAAATCTCCCTCATCATTTGTGTTTAGCAAACATATTTTGTTACTTCCCGAGCAAATTTGATGGTATCATGAATTGATCGAAATCCCACTTCCTCATCAAATATCATCTTTGGTGATTTATGCATTTCCTGATTATCTCTTTGCCAGTAAATATTTTTCAAAGAAATATTATCTTCAAAAGTTATTTGATCATTATTTTGACCTTTTATTTCTTGTTGAGTTGTAGCTATTGTGATCTTGAATTCATGATTTCTATTGTAAAGATGAATTAAAGATATGAATTAAAAATGAATTAAAAATGAATTAAAGATAAATTAAAGATAAATTAAAGATGAATTAATGATAAATTAAAGATTATTCATGAAAATATTTTTAATTATTCTTATTCTTATTCTTATTAAAATATATACCTATAACATTTCTTACGAATTTTCTGCCTTACTCCAATACAATCCAATTTCCCATCAAAATCATTTAGTCTAAACCACATTCCTTGTTCTCCCGGAATAAGTCTTTCTGCTTGAATTTCTCTTATAATTTGTTTCAATTTTTGGTCAACAAATACGTTACGTTGTGTCTTTATCATAAATCTTAAATCTGAATCTTCTGTTCCTGATATTAAATCAATGATCGCTGCAAATTTAAGGTTTAAAAATTATTAACTGTGAATATAATAAAATTTGTGAGAAATGAAATAATTATAAATAATCAAGTTTGTGAATTAAAACTAACCATAACGTCTAATATCGGCCGCAGCTTTCATTGCTTTCCATAATTCTATTGTCGTCGAAAAAAAAAAAAATTATTTAAATTATTTAAATTATTATTTAATTGATAATATATTTGATAATATATTTGATAATATTAATTATATTAATTATATTAATTCGAAAATCCAATTTAAATCCAATTAAATAAATTAAATTAATAATTACTTTCTTCTTTACACCAATGCAATTTCATCTTTCTTCTTTGACCATTATGCATATAAAGTATACTAATACTACGTTTATCCTCTCTTAAATCTGATTTTAAACCAAATTTCTCACGAATCACATCAATATTATTCCAAATTTGAAGCATATGGTGTGTAAATGAAGTGCCAATACCATTTATACCATTTGTAGCACGTCTAGTAAATTTACACCAATCTTTCACATCAAAAATCATATCTGATTTAATTTTAGTAAAAGTTTGACGTCCAAAGAATATATGAAATTGAATTTGGTTACATTCGAGATTTGAATCCTCATTTGAATCGAAAGGATCATTAAATTCTTTTAGAAGTTCAGATACTTTTCCAAGGCATTCATCAAATTTATCAGAAGTACCAAAACCACCAGATTCCAATAAAGGTTGCTGTAATATGAGATCATTACTAAGTTGATCAGCCAAATTGTCAATTGCACTTTGTATGGATTCAGCATTTCTAGTCCTTAAAATGGTTTTTTTTCCAGTATCTTTAATTCTTTCAACAAAATATTTTGGTATATTTACATATCTATCATCTACATATTTATCTTTGTTGCCATCATTTTCGACAAATTTAAGAAATCGATATTTTGCATCTTTGACATTTTCAATATCATTTAATTCCAATAAAGTGAATCCAATTGTAGGGTTTACTGAAGTTCTAGCAATTGATTCGTTTATAAGAGTTTTTGCGCGATCACGTTGTAAAGATGTACCATAAATTTTTGCTGATGGACGAGGCGAACCCAGGTCAACATGAATCTTTGCTCCTGATAATTCTCTTTAATTAAAAATTATATTAAAAATATATATATATATATTTGTGATTAGAAATTTAACAAGATATATATTTATTTATTTAAATTATAAAAATGAAAAAAAAAAAATTAAATAAATAAAATTAAATAAATAAAAATTAAATAAATAAAAATTAAAAAAATTAATTACTTAATGCGCTTAATATTACTTCCCCGAGCACCAATGACATATGGACCTAACCCATCAGGAATATACATTATCTCTTCATTATCTTTGTTGAAAATATCGCGTATCCCTTCTTTACGGTTAATGTATAAATTTTGTTTGAAAGTAGCCATTTCTATATGTGAAATAAATTGGATAATTGCAATTTTTGGTAATCTTATATACTTTCGAAAATTTTTAGTTTGTGATACTATGTATTATAAATTGATTATTATTCCTGTTATTGTTAGTGCATTTGGAAATTGGCGTCAAAGTCATATGATTAAATTCTAGAAGTTATCGTAATCAAATCGAGAATATGAGATTACACAATCTCTGTAATACATAACCTTCTTTTATCTTGATGCTTTTGTTGACGCTTTTGTTAACTGGGGTTGAAAGTCATATGTATTTAATTATACTGTACTTATAATTAAAATAAAAATTTTAATACATAAACCATAAAAATTGAGAAAATATTTCTATAATATAAAAATTAAAGAAAATGGATCAAATTTATTTAAGATTTTCCAAGTTTCTATCTTAGAGGTTCCACACTGTAGTACCTTCAACCATCATTTTGAACCTTCGGTTATCAGTTTGTACTTTTAATTATCACTTTAAACATTCCGATATCAATTTGAGCTTTTGATTATAAACACAAGCTTTTTGATAAATACTAACAATGCCTATGTGAATAATTAGATGTAAAATATAGTGACAGATAATAAAATAAAATTAATTCCTTAGCGTCAATTTTCTTTTATAGATAAATTTCTTCTTCTCATATATAGTTTAACAGACAATGATATATTTTGTACTTCAGACATTTATATATTTTCGAAAATCTGACTATTTACATAAATTTTGAAATATATTATGTATAAATTTTATAAAAATTAACAAAATTATAAATACATTCATTAAATTATGAATAAATAAATATTATAAATAAAGAAATACATAATATTTGTAAATTATAACTTAAAGTTGAAGTTTCGTAGTTGATTCAGATTCATGTTCAAAGTGATTAAATTCCGAATTTGCAAGAACAAGAGAATGACTTTTATCATTAAGTTCACTTTTCTATATATTTTTATTACAAAAAATTGTTAAAAAATGAAATGAAGTAATTATTATTATAAAAATTCAGTATAATTTAATTTATACATTACTTTGGATTCGAGATCATCATCATTAATCCATCCATCATCATTAAAATTATTTTCATAATCGTTTTTCCTATAAGCTTTAATTGTGTCAGGATTTGCATGATAATATATTAAAGATGGAAAAAAATCTTTCCTTTTGCGTTGTTCTGGAGTCATAAAAAACATTTCTATTTCCGCTATAACCTATTTAATATTTATTTAATTAAAAAGTTTTTATTTAATTAATATATTTAATATATTTAAATATATAAGCAGGAAATTTGAAAATTACCTCTGCCTTTTGTTTAAGCCAAGCTCGTTTACCAGTGGTTTTTGTTTCTGCTACAACATCAGACATAATAGCAATTAAAACATTTAATAATAAAATGGTAGTAGAAAATGAAAATGCCATTAATAATATAATAATTGTTCCATTATGTTCGGATATCTCTTCACTAACAGAATCAAATTGTCCAATCTAAATATTTTAAATTAATTTATAAAATATATATATTAATAAAAATATTAATAAAAAAAATATTAATAAAAAATATTAATAAAAAATATTAATAATAAAAAATATTAATAAAAATATTAATTAATAATATTCTATTACTTACCATAATAAAAAATACAGAAACAAGTGAATTTTTAAATTCTTTATAATTATTATTTATTCTGTCTCTTAAAATAATATTTAATATATGTGCAAATGAAAACACCATCAATCCCATGATTATAACAATCCACAAAACTTTTCTAAATATTTCTACAACAATATATATTGGTATCCCAAATACTCTAAATACTCGAAAATGTAATATCTTTAAATTTTAAGATAACAATTAGAATAAATAAATAATAATCTGTAAATAATTTTGTATATTTTTTAAAAAATTTTATAGTCTATATTACTTACCAAACTAATATAAATAACGAACATAGATGCTCCGATAAATCCATCACCTATTGATTCATTAAATATAATTTTCTTTGCTACAATAATTGGAAAAATACTTCTAGCCAAATCTAAATAATTAGTTATATTAAACCAATAATCTACTAATTGTCCCATCATTTGCAAAATTTCTTGAAATAAATAAAATGTTCCAATAACAAGGACACCGCTCATCATTATTTTTTTTATCAATTCAATTCTTACCGTAATACCAACCATAAATAAGATTGTATAAAACATGTAACCTAATAGAATTAAAGAAGATCGAAATCTTGCGAATTTACGCCACTTGAAATTTATGATTGCTTCCATTGCTGGTGTTTCAAATAGTTCATATCGAGTTGATAAAACTTCTTCAATCTGTACAAAAAAATAAAATAAAATTCAGTAAAGTAAAATAATTTAAATTAAAAACTAACAAAAAAAAATTATATTACAAATGGTGATCGTTTTTTTCGATATAATAGATAATTAATTATTCTTCGAAAAAATGGCGCACGACTTTTTACTATTGATTTTTGTAAGCTTTTGGGTGTTCTTTTGTAAACTGTAAAATCAGGGAGGGGTACCACACATTCTCTTGCAGGATGCGTCTTATTTGGAATGCGTACAAATTCTGTAGCATCCTCTATCTTTTCAAATGAAATATAATTAAAAATAATAAATTAATTTCAAAGAAAAAATAATAATAATAATAATAATAATAATAATAAATAATCTAATCTATATGCATTCAATATGAATACGCATAAAATAAAATAATAAATACTCGTTTATCCCAATTTTTTTCATTCTTTAACCACCAAGTTTTTACTTTTTGCCAAAATGTTTCAACAACTTCACGATTAAGTTCTTCTATTTTCGAAAATGCAAAAAGTTCTTCTCGATCACTTCTAATAACTTCATCTTTAACTGGCATGTAACTGATTCTCTTGAAAAAATCTAAAGCAAAATCTGGATAAACTTCTCTCAATGTACTTAATGCAGGAACAATTGTTAAAGTCCAAGAAATTGGATTTTCTTCTGCGCGTTTACAATAATATTTTAATAATGAATATACAACATCAGTTTTGCCAAGATGAATTGCTCTTAATAAAGCAGACTTTGTCATATCTTCATCATGAAATTGTGGAATATGATTTTTGGTTTCAAGAAATTTTTTAATCAACCTATCTGCATATATACAATCTGCTTTAATTAATATCTCTAAAGGTGATTGTCCGTCAATAATTTGATTAAATATATATGAATATTGATACATGGAATTAATAATTATTGCTTGACATTTAGTAAGTAATCTTTTAAAGTGTTCATTAATTTTTCCTGAACTAATTTGAATTTGATATCTATTTTCAACAAAACTGAGATATCCTAAAGCTGTCGATGCATTAGCTATTATTTCAAATGTGGCCTTTTCATTTTCTTGGGGAAGAATTAAATCGAATTCAAATGTTGCTGCTTGATCAACTGCACTGAGATTTCTTTCGCGTTCTCTGGGTTCTTCAATATTATATTCAAATGGATAATTACTCGAGTTTTGAATAGTAAACCTAAAAAAAAAAATAAATTAATTAAAAGTATATATGTGTGTTAGATTGAGACAAACTTTTTTAAAGATTCTTTGAATAATTTACTTTGAAAAACTTCTTTTATCACGTTCTTCTATTTCACAATAAAGCTTCAGCATATATATCCCCTCAGGATCTCTTCGTAGTCTCGCTTCTTCAATAGTTGCATATATGGTTCTATCCTTTAATTCTTTACTCCCTTTATTCTTGAGTTTTAAGATAAAAAAAAAAAAAAAAAATTAATTAATATCAATCAATATACAAAAGAATCAGTAAAATGAAAAATGAATACACTTACTTTTACTGGTTTACACCAAATATATTGTAATTCGGGTTCCTGACCAGATTTAAAAACCCAGATTTGTACAGTATAATGTCCAATATAAACAACACGTTCTTTCTTTTCATCTAAACAAAACCCTGATTTAACTGGTGTAAATATGAGCCATGGTTCTATATGAATATTAACGATTGGATGATCATTGTGTAATTCAATTTCCCTCTCTTTCTCAGCATCACATTCGTATAATATTTTCTTGTTATAAGAATAAATTTTGGTAAATCCATCTACAGCATAACGATGATTTCCTATAAGTTTTAATTGTAAATTTTCCATAGGTTTTTGATTTTTAGATATTGGTGTTGAGACACTATGCATTTTTAGTTTCGAATCTTTATAAGTTATATAAAAGTCGGCACCATTTGGTTCAAACAAAAAATTCCTTTCAAGATTATCGTGAGAAATGATCGATTGACAAGTATGTATATTCCAAATCTGTAAAAAATGTCGATCATCCGTTTCATTTGCATTAATTGTCATAATATGTTCATCGTCTTCCAACCATAATAACTCTTTTTTTATTGAATCATTTCCACTTTTTTCCTGGGATGTTGTATCAGAGATAGATGAGGAAAATATAAGTCCACCTTGACATAAAAATATTGTCAAAATTCCTTTTGATGTCCAAGTTGCCAACATTTTTTTATTGTGAGACAATGAAAAGAGAGTTGGTGAAGCATCAGCATCCAGAAAAGAATCTTTTTGATTACATTTAAAACGAGTTACTAATTGTCCGGTAGACAATGACCATAATGATGCAACGTCCCACTAAATCAAAAAAAAAATGACAGAACTTTTAATAATAATGAAATAAAATAATAAAAATAAAGGTAAATATATATAAACAAATGAAAGGCTTGTTTAATTGGCCAACCTGTTCGATAAAGACAAAATAACCTTGCAAGAGAGCCGACTTAACTATCTTTATTTGTATCCATGGATGAGGAATCACTCGAAGTGAAGCAGCAAATATATTAACAATTAATTTATGTTGAACTCTCCAATGATTTGTTGAAAAGACGTAAACAAAATTTCCTCCATTACTGTTAAGATAGTCATGTTCTACATTACATACAACAAATGATTTACCATCATCCGTAAATTTTATTGAACCTTTTAATTTTCTGAGATCTCTTCGAAAAACTGGTCTAAACTGTTGAGTTTTCATTACACAAGTATATAATACATCATCTTTTCTGTTAGAAGGAGGATTAACTAATTCAAAAGGTGTAGGTTCATCTTCATCTTGAGGCAATTTTATGGCGCTTAATGCAACAAATTTGGCTTTTTTTAAAAAAAAAAAAAAAAAAAAAAAAAAAAAAAGATAAAATAAAATGAAGATAAAATAATAATATTGTTAAAAAAAAAATAAAGTGAATAAATAATTTTTATTTTGTTACCATCATTACAAAGAGCAAAATCTACATTTGACATATATATCCCAGATGGAAAAGCGGGAGCGAAACTTTTCCTTTTATGCCAATAATCCCTAGGTTTTAAATCAGAATGTAAAGGTCCTGATTGCCAAAAAAGTTGTGAATTTTCTTCTTCATCAAATTTCCATATTTGAATTTTCCCTTGTTCTGAAGAATAAGTGGCAATATGTTCACCATTAGGTGAAAAAACACATGCATCAATTTTATAACTTTCAGGATTAAGTAAATTTTCAAATATAAAATCATTTCTATCAATTTCAATTTCAATTGATTCATCATCTGATAATCGTCTAAGAGTTTTATTATCTGTATTATTGGAATTTATCCTCCGCCTCGAAGAAAATATGTTTAGAGGATCATAGTTAGACTTTTTTGTCTGATTATTATCCATTTTTTAAAAATAAAAGTGTGAATTTTTTTTTTATACTAATTTTCTTTTCAAAGAAGCAAAAAATGAAATAAATTAGAATAGCCCATATTTATTGTTTCCACGATCAGTTATTGTTTGTTTCACAAAATTCCAGTTAAATCACTTTCTTGCTTTAATCTAAAATTTCGTCTCTCACAAGGCCGAATTCGACCAATTTAGGTTAGATATTCACCATTGAAGATATTATAAATTTAGAATTCTTGAATTCTTTCATTCAAAATAGGGGGAAAAAATAGATTTTGATTATACTAAAACAAATATGTATATGATCATATGCATTTTAAATCTGTACAGTTTATCTGTATACTATATGGCCAATTTCTATGACGTAATGGGTATTGAAAAAGAGAAAACTTAAACTAGACCCCAGGGTTTAGGTCATTTATTCTAGACCCCCGGAGTTTAGGTCATTTTGTCTAGA